CAGATTCACCCATTAGAACAGAAATCAATCATCGATCATAATGAAAAGCCACCACAAATACTTTTCAGGTCTAGAGATGCCTTTAGGCTAAACATTAGGCTTCTAGGTAATTTTCCAAGTTTCAAAGTATGAGTTTTAAGAAAGCCAGGGCTGTCTACACTATATAATTTATGCACTTATTCATCTCCATAATAGGAGATAACTGATCTGTGAAGAAATAATAGTGTCATGTTTTAATAGTCAAAAATCTCACCTTTAATGAAGATGTTTGCTAATAAAATTAATAATTGTATTATTGTAAAATCTTATGAATATTTATTTAGCATTCTATAATTTAGGGAGCACTTCCATATCTGCAGTCTCTCTGAATTCACACTGGAGTCCTAAAAGGTAGACAGGCTTAGAAAGGTTAAGTAATTTGTCCAAATCCACATGAGTAGTCATGATGTGACAAGAATTGTTTTTAAAAGATGTGAAATCCACACATAAGTCTCAATTAATGTTATTCACTTTTATTAAACACAGGGTTTACCATTAAAAAAAAGATGTGAAATCATGAAAAGAAACTCTCAATTTTCTCATAAACATGTCAAATGGCTTCACAACAACATAGGGAGGTTTAAAATTATACTGAAAAATAAATACTATTTTTTTCCAAAGGAAATAAGCAAAATAAGGTAAATTCTGATATTTTTATGTTTGTGCTTATGAAAATAAATAAAACAGCACATATTTGTTTGTCCCACAAGATAATTGATATTAATTTTGCTGAAAATATATTTATTTCTGCCCATTGTCCAAGTCTTGACTTTTAAATACCATTCTCCAATATAATGAATCTGGAGTCCTCAGAGAAATGACTCATTCTCCGGCAGGTGCAAGAAACATAAAGGTGGATCCAGATGGTTTTGCATTGTCGGAAAATAAATAACTATCAAAACAAACAAAAACAGAAACAAAAGAATGTGTGTGCTAAAAGGATAGGTGCCAACCTGAAAGAGTTACCCATTGTGAAATCTGGAATAATTTGAGGAACAAAATAAATAATGTAGCATTGAATTATAACCTAAAATATAAAATAAATATTCATGAGTTTATAGTGTTATATTTGAATGGTTGATAAACCAAGGCAAAGATACAAATTGTCCTTACAGAAAATTTCCAAATAATATATGTTTGATTGGGCTAGATGCAGTGACTTTTTTCTAAGGAAAAGTGTATGAAAAGGATAAAATAGTAACTCACTAGTGAAGAAACATGGCAAACACCACCTTAATCAAGTGATCAAGGTTAACATCATTAGAGATATTGTGATCATTATACCTTGTAATCCTGATATGATTTGATGGGAAGGAAATTTTACCTTTGATGCAATCTTTCCAAAAAACTATATTCTCAATCTAATCATGATAAAAGCATAAGATGAACCCAAATTGAATGGCATATTATGAAATATCTGATCAATACCTCTCAAGGCTTCAAGATCATGAAAAACTGCAAAACTGTCAGACCAGAGGAGCCTAAGTAGTTAATAAGTAACTGTAATGTGGGATCCTGGATTGAATACTGGAACATAGATCTGATTTTAATGGAAAAGCTGTTGAGATAAGGATAAAGTCTGAAGTTTCTTTGATAGTAATATGGGAATGTTTGTTTCTTAGTTTTGAAAATATATCATCACAAAATGTAGCATGGCAAAATCAAATACAATAGGGGCAACTGAAACCTGCTGTGTGAGAACTCTCTGTACTATATTCCTACTCTTCTGCAAATCTAAATCTTCCAAAATAAAAATTTACTAAAACAATTAGTTTCAAAGAATGTCCTTGTGTATGGGCAAATCATTGTATTTGACCGTCTATATGTTTGTGCATGAATGTCAATCAGTAGAGTTTAGCATATTATCCACAATTCTGAGCAATAGTGACAACAGTTTTTACTTTAATGTTTCCATTATACTTTGGCTATTTTTTGATGTGTTCATAAACCCACATCTTATATGTATATATTGTAATAATTCACATGATCTTCACTTTTATGTTTATGTTCATAAATATAAAATTCAGTGCTTTAATTGACAACTTGTTTGAGCATTAAAGACATTTCTATCTAGGGATATGAGCCAACAGGAAGTCAGAATGTATACATAGTTGCTTCTATTTCTTAAAGTTATTAGGAACCATTGTTTCAATAGCTCTATCCCAGAGGCTGTAGTGCTCAATGTTACTTCTGCTGGGAGCAGCACAGTATAGGTCAGGTTGCTGTCTTTCAGCAGCAGTAAAGGAACATTAGATCCAAGGACTCAGATCTCTCTAGAGACTCCAGAGCTCACAGTTTTTTGTTTTTTTTTTTGGTCTCTGGTGATCATCAAATCGTAAAGTCACCAAAATGGCATATCTCTTGCTTGATGAAAAATAGCTTGGCATCATTTTTCTGTAGTGACATGAATAGAAAGAATAAGAAGATTTGTGAAAGCAGAAGTGGCTGTTTAGTAAAATGAGAAATGTGCTTACTGCAAAGCTTTGCTGCTCAGCAAGTTCATTTTGGTGTTTCTTGCAGGGAAGAACAAGAACAAAGGTATTAAATTTCCAAATGTTGAACTTATTTATTTATCAATAACATCATCCACACATAGTTTTTATATCTCTACACTAATCTGGCCTGATAGGAAGAAGCTACCTATCTGTTTTTCATGTCTAAATAATTCCAAAATGACTCAATATATTCTGTTTGTATTCCCAGATTTTCTCAGTCAATTCCCCTGTCTTTTAGGCTGTGTATATAAGATAGCAAGCCAACTAGTAAATTCAGAGAAAAAAAAATATTCATCAGCTTTATTAGTGGGTGTTGTTTTGATAAAATGACTCTCTGATTGATGATGGTTCTTGTTCCAAATTATTGAGAAGCTGCATAGACACAGCCTTTTATTCTGCCAAAGAGCACTTTGGGGATTTTTTTTTTTTAAATTGACTTGAATGATTTGCCAATGTTGACAATGTTGAAAATTTGCTCATCATGTGAAGCTTCTAGATAATGATGGAAAAATTCACTCCAATCATCCTAATATTTAGAAACACCCTGACAATATATTGACTTTTTAACCTTATATTCAATAATTTTACATTGGTTGTATATTCATATATTCTTATATAAATGCTTAGACAAAATATAGCTGTGAAGTAAACTAATTTTTTAAGCCAGAATAATCAAACATTTTTAATATGTAGAAATTAAAGTAAAAATAAAATCCACCATCACGTATTAAATTCTTGTGACGTGATAAAAGCAATCACTATACCAGGAAAGGATAGTTATTCCTAATAGTTAGTCATCAGATCTAAATAGATTACTAACAAAAATATTAAGATTAGCAGCTTTTTATTTCTGATTTTATACACATATTTCTTCAGAAGATAATAAAATCAAAGATAGTAAGATTTATCTTCATTTACTTTTTAAGGAAAAGTAATTCTTTCGTGAAAAACATCTCTGAAGAAATATTAACTTATTTCCTGAGGATATGTGAGGCAGTTTTTATTATTGCTTTTTTCATTTCCTCCTCTTGGCTTATGGGCTCTAGAATCTGATCCTTACTACTTACAGTCTTGAAATTTGAGACTGGCGAGATATTATTTCTTATCTACATTCCCTGAAGGTACTAACTGCTGAGTTTTGTGGGACAACGCTTTACCAATGGGGTCTTCCACAGGGTGCTCTGTGGGAACTGCCTATTCTCCCTAATTTAGTGGAGCAACTGCAATAAAACTTTTGGGGATAGAAATAAAAGAGAAGAGACAGAATGGAAATTTCCTAGACTTTGCTAGCTGTAGAATATTTTAACCAGGACTTTTTTTTTTCAGGGATATCTGGTTCTTGGGGGTATAAATTCTCTGGTAGGAGTCTGTGGAAAATGTTTCTACAGTAGCGAAGATTTGTGTTAACAGGGTCTGGAACAGAGGCAACAAAATGTTTTCTCTTTCTCACTCTCTCCTTTTTGTTTGTCCCAAGTGTAATCTTTGGTTAGAATTCTTGCTCCCAACTACACCCCACTGTTTGTTTTGAGAATGGGTTTAGAGAAAATCTAATGTTTTTGCTTGCCTGTTTTACTAATGAAGAGGCTTTTGTAGGATAATGTATTTGGGGAAGAAACTTAAAATATAAACTATTAGTTTCATGCCATAAGCAAGGCAAATTTCTTTATTATCTGCAGGTATTAATCTTTGCCATCTCAAAGTCCATAATGATTTTTGCCAGAAATTGTCCTCTGCAAATAAAAATGCATCATGCCAAAGACCTTGTACAGTCATGCCTGAGGAGCTCAAATGCAACTGTCTCAGTTCTGGCTCCTTGGGAATATGAGTAAGAGGTGAAACAAAGGATGATCCATTTTGTTAACCAAAGACTGAAAATATACTGAGTGTTTTGAAAAATACCAAATGCCATTAAAATTTCTGAGAATATACAATGGGAATTTATATACTCTTGTTTTCAAAGTAATGTACATTTTCTGCATGTATTTAGAAAATATAGAAAGGGAAAAAGAAGAAACCAGTAAAAATCTCCCAGAGATAATATTAACATTTTTGACCTTAATATTTTTTTAAAAAATGAAATTCTGTAGTAGTTTTTATATGTACATCTTTAAGACCCCAGAAAAAAATATTTGGCTAACTTTTTATTTTTGAAGCAAATCAAATATTCTTGTTTGTTCCATTATTTCTGGGTTGTTACTATTTTGAGAAAGGTATCTTATTTGTTTCTTTAAAGGTGAATTTTTAGAGACGAAACTACACTTAATTTTTCAAATACATTATTTCTTTGAAATTGGAATTTTGAATCTCTCCAATCATAATCAGAGCTGAGAAGACAGAGGTCTCTGATATTTATCTTCTTAATAGGAAGACAAATGATGGAGCAAATTAACAATTATTGAATGAAATACAAACACTACCTAAATATTATTTATTTAAAATTATTGGTACCTGACTGAGCAGCGGGAGTGAGGGTTCAGAGATGGGCAGTGAGAAGGAGCAGAGTCCAGAACCACACCTGCCTGAGGAAGGGGAAGCGGGTAAGCCTTGGAGAGTGGATGGCTCAGAGGGTTCTCACATCCCATCTGGGGAAAAGGATCATGGGCAGGAGAACCCACTGATGAGGCCATGGCAGAAAACCATTGCCCCAGCTGAAGGACCAGAGAATCCTATTGCTCCTCCAAAGCCTGAAGCAGAGGAGAAGCCCTTTATATGTGTTCAGTGTGGCAAAACCTTCACCAATACCTCTAACCTGAGAACACACCTACGGATCCACACTGGTAAGAAGCCTTACAAGTGTTCCGAATGTGGTGAGAGCTTTTCCCGAAGCTCCAACCGCATCTGGCATGAACGGATCCACCTGGAAGAGAAGCACTACAAATGTCCCAAGTGTCAGGAGTGCTTTCGGCGGCGCTCAGACCTCACCACGCACCAGCAAGATCACCTGGGCAAGCGGCCGTACCGCTGCGATATCTGTGGTAAGAGCTTCAGCCAGAGTGCCACACTGGCTGGGCATTATCGGACCCACCTGGAGCCAGCGCCCTACATCTGCTGTGAGTGTGGGAAGAGCTTCAGCAACAGCTCCAGCTTTGGAGTGCACCACCGCACCCACACTGGTGAGAGGCCATATGAATGTGCTGAATGCGGGCGGACCTTCAGTGATATCTCCAACTTTGGAGCACACCAGAGGACCCACAGAGGGGAGAAGCCCTACCGGTGCACTCTTTGTGGGAAGCATTTCTCCTGGAGCTGGAATCTTATTCGTCATCAGAAAACACACTTGGGTGAGCAGAATGGGAAAGATTCCAGCTGAAGGGAAGCCGCAGTTAAGAGTGGGAAGAGAGAGTGAGAGACCCATTCTAGTGGAGGAAGAAGACCTTTAGGATCTGCTGCTGCCACCTTGATTTCAAGTGCTTCATCCCTCTTTGGAGATTGGTTTCCTGTTGCCTCCGAAGCCAGGATCTCCAAGAAATCCTGAGAAGGGACTCTGAATAAAAATCCTCCCAGGCAATTTCTTGCCATAGAAAGTCAGAGAACCCAGTCTTGGCTTCACCTTGTTGGATGTGAAAGAGAAGTAGGGTAGGCTCCAGACATGTTCATGTCATTGGGTTAGCAGTTCTCTGGCCTTTGAGGAAGCACCTGTGAGATGGCATCACTGTCTGAAGTACCTTCATATTGTCCATGAACTGTTTAGGGTACACTGCAGTGGGCTGCTAGGTTCCTACCTGCTGTACCCCAACTCAAGTCGTGCTTCTGGATCTGGAGGCTGGGAGGAGTGGCCCTTCTTGGAAGGGTCCTTCTTGGCCTGAGAAGAGGTTTGAGGTTCTGTCTTAGGAATGAAAGAGAAGCCCACTAGAATCGTCACACTCCCCCATATTTGTTACCTATTATCCCCACTTCACTCTCCATCTGTTTCCTTGTGATGATTAGCACTTAATGATTCAACGAAAAAGACCCATGGACTGACTTGAAGAGGTGGGGAGTGAGGGAGAGTGTCCCAGTGCAGCCATTCTGGAAGGGAACTGAATTCTAAGAAAGAAAGATGGGAGCTGGAATTGTGGCTCAGTGATAGAGCACTTGTCTCGCAAGTGTGAGGCCCTGAGTTTGATCCTAGCACCACCTAAAAACAAATAAAGACATTGAGTCCATATACAACTTTAAAAAAAAGGAAAAAGACAGATAGGTGGCTCTTCTAAAAAGCAAAGAAAAGGAGGCTGAGTCTTTTTAAGTGTTTGAGGAGAAGGGAGAAAGGAAAGGACTAACATCAATTGAGTATTCACTATATGCTATTGATTCTGCTGGTTACATCAACATTCTTCATTTCATTTAGTTGTCAGCAGTCCTCAAGGGTATAAGATGAGGAAACAGAAGCAAGGTATATAGTAGAGTCCATTTAAACTTGGGCCTCCTTGGCTCTCTACTGATGCTCTTTTTTTTTCACTACATTCACATTGCTGACCTCTAAAGGAGGAGCCATGTAGTCGATAAACCTGGAGATGGGAGCCGGCGTGGCCTTGTGATATGGCTCTGGACTATTCACTGTGTGGGAAGTCAGTACTAAGCATGAGACCCTTTTTAACTTTAGATTACTGATTGAGGATTTCTTTTGTTGCTGGAAAAATGTCAGTGGAAGGAGTAGATGTTGAGGGATGGGATAAGATGAGAAAAATCTTAAGACCCATAGTAAGTTTGCCATTAATATCAATAATTTATCCCTAAGATTGGGAATACAGGGAATTATGTCTGGTTTTCTGGCCTTCTGGCTTAGATCTGGCTTCACATGGCCTCAGATGGTTTAGATTTGGCTTCACATGAAAGTTTAGTGTTCACCTAGCTTTCCTCTAACAAATACAAAATACCCCTATCTTGCTTTACCCCATGGTGCTGGAGATTGAACCCAGAGCCCAACCTAGCCAGGCAAGTGCTCTACCACTGAGCTATACTCCAGCCTCCAGATGTCTCTTTCTGTCTCTCTAGTCAGTTTGGGTCCCTGCCTTCCAGAGTAAGGGTTCCTCTCATTTGTAGCTAATGGCAGAATGTGAATCTGTTGAAACTGATACACCCATGACCTGACCTATCATGTGGGGTCCCTGCCACTTGTTCAGGGAGAGATATGCCAGGAACTTCACAGTCATCCTCTTACTAAATTTTCAACCATTGGAGAATTATGCACATTTAACAAATGTGGAAACAGGTGGATAGAAAGTTACTTCCCAAGATAAAAAAGCAAGTAATTGTCAGGGCCAGGAACTGAACCTTATTCTACCCAAAGCCTGTGATTTTTTTTTAAGCTGTAGAAAACTTTCCAAATTATTCCCTTACATTTGTAGGATGATTTACAGTTAGAAAACACTTTAATTTCATATTCATTTGTTTTTGGAAAATCTACACACAATATTTTAAACATAGTTACCTAAACTTAGACATGTAAATTGATACATGGCCTTAATAATAAAAGTCACCATCTATTAAAAAATTATTCCATAAGTTTTAATAGTTTTTTAAAAATACCATTAAAAATCTGAGACTTAGCTGGCTGATCCAAGACATCAGCTTATTTACCAACAATATCTTGATAGAATTGACTCAAGACTTCTACTCCCTTTTCTCTTGGGACAGGTGAAAGGGAGGTGGGAGGATAGGCAAAGGGCAGTGAAGTCCAGCACTTTGGTCTAGTTATCATGAGGTTTCTCACTGACCACAGATTGAACTTCTAATGCAGCCAACTCTCTCAAAAGACTTGTTTTTGGTCACAAAGGGAAATGAAGTGAGGGTGCATGAGTCACCGCACATTTTTTAAAGTTACAAGCAAAACAATTTTCCTAAGGGATGAGCAGTATTGTCATCTTCATCTTGGAAGAACATACCTTAAATAGTTGAAAGAGATGAAGAAACTATAAGAGATGATGCAGCATTTAAATTTAACCAAGTGTTCTAGCTGATTCCTCTCTTTTAGTTAGTACTATTGCAGCAAAGCAGCAGAAGTTCTGGAGTTTACTGGAAACATCTTGAGAAATCCAGCTGTCAAGGGCTGCTTGAAGCTTTTGTACCCAGAACACAGCTGCTAGCTGTCACCTTGAAGCAGTAGTTTCTACTGTGGAATTAGTTGAAAGAAGATATTGCTTTGAGACTAGGGCCAGAAAGTTCCCCTCAAAAAATGTGCAAAATTTGAGTCAAAGAGAAATAGAATTTATTGGAAATGCTTCATCAAAGTGCTTGGTGAACTACGCCAAGCTGCTCCCTTCGTTTCTCTGAACAAATAGCCCTGAGGGAGAGGTGGTCTTGTAGAGTTTAAGAAGGTATTTTTCTAATCAGGTTCAGAATATGCTGCTCACTGCAGTCAATGATTAGTAGCTTCCTATTAATAAGCTGATTATCTGCCTTAGTTTGTGGAATTATTTGTGCATTATTATTGTATATAACAACTACTAAAAAGTAATGAAATTGTCAGTGTCATGAATTGACTAGTAAAAAGTGGATTAGAAAAATGAAGATTGTTTATGTATAAAAGAAAATAATGTAACCAAAAGAAAATTGAGCTCAAAAGTGTCCTGTTCAAGAAAATGTGGAATGTTTCCTAAATTAGCAAAAAATACATGTTATTTTTCATTTTCCATTGACCTAGAAAAATGAAAGATACCATATCACAAGAAAGGAAAAATAACAGAATAGACTAAAACCCTTGGTAATATAAACATTTTTATTTTAATACCACTAAATTCTTTAAAAGGGAGAAAAACAAAGCTGATTTTTCCATCCTATCACATAGGGTCTCCCAGACTATTGTTTATATTTTTGAAAAATTGAAAACTATTTTTCTAATATATTTAGTAAAATTATGCTTAAATTTAATAATGAGGATGCATCTTTTTCCCCTACAAGACAGCTGTTAGCTATTACAATAATTGACTTTGAACTTCAATCTTTAAAACATGTGCAAGTATTTATATATCTGCAACTTGAGAAAAATGTTTTCCTAACACTATTTAACAAAAATTCTTAATCTCTCCTTTATTTTCATATTATTGTAACATTTCAAGTACTTCTTAACTGGTCAGCTTCTAATAATATTGACTGTGTCCAGCCATATCTGAGGTAGCTTAGTGGTTAGACGATTTAGTCAAAGCTGAACACTAAGCATTTACCTGTTTATTTTGAGGGGCACATTTTTTGTATAGTTTCAATTATTCACAAATAATTATGAAGTGTTATGTTACCAATTGAAATTTGGCTTTTTATATGAAGCAAATTCTTTAAATTTCATAATAATCTTAATTTGACTAGAATGTCAACAGAAATCATCCATTAGAATTGTTCTTTGTATCATGTGTGGTTTATAGTTTATTATTTTACACTTTCTTTCTTTTACTGGGGATTGAACAATTTAGGGGCACTTGACCACTGAGCAGCATCTCCACAGCTAGTCCCTGTTTTGAATTTTACTTAGATACAGAGTCTCACTGAGTTGCTTAGCACCTTGCTTTTGCTGAGGCTGGCTTTGAACTCGTGATCCTCCTGTCTCAGCCTCCCACCCACTGGGATTACAGGCATGTGCCACGGTGCCTAGCTATTTCACTAATTTCTTAAGCATTCTAGTGTGTCTATGTGGAGTAAGACAGCATGGTAGGAGGCAGGCTCACAGAGGCAACAAGAAACAGTGCTTGTCCCTGAGCAGTTAGAAATAAATCATAGTGATACTGCATGATATACAATAAGTATTTGTAGAGGGTGTCAGAAGAGGGGATATAGCAAGGTTTAGTGGAGTTTGGGTAAAGAAGTGAGAACACATTTCTGAGAGGAGGTGACATAGTCTGATATTTAAAGGTTGAGTACAACTACTTGTCTTGTGGTTAAAGGTCAAACAAGTTAATCTTTCTTTGATAGAAGAGGCATTTACACATGTGTTCTGATTAGATCTGGCTGCCCTTTCTTAGATTCTCCTATGGATTAGTCTTCTTACTAATCTTTGATCACACAATTGCAAAGTTGACAGTATTTTGTCCCTCACCTATCCCTGTACTTCTCCAGTGTGAGTGTATCTCTGGATTACAAGAATGAATTGTAAATACAGACTGCTGTTTCTCACTCCACAGTTTCTGATTCAGTAGGTCAGGAGTGGAGACCAACAATTGCAGGTTTAATAGGTCTTCAGATAATATGGATGGTACTGGCCTGTCTTAGTTTGGGTTGCTATCCCAAATGTCATAAACTTTTAGATGGCTTATACACGACCAAAATTGATTTATAATAGCTCTGGAAGTTGAGGCCTAAGATCAGGGTGCCAGCTGGATTGAGTTCTTGCTGAGTACCCACTTTCTAGCTTACAGATACCCATAATCTGCTGTTTCCTTACATGTTAATAAAAAGAACTGGTAAGTTCTCTGGCCTCCTCTTATTAGAATACTCATTGCATAT